CTCTTTATTCACGTGGGCTTAATCTTGCTATTGCTCTTACCTCTCCAACTGTTCCTCTTTTGTTCCTCAGCACATCCATCCTATGATTCTTTGCCACATGACTTCCAAGCCAATTGCCTTGCTCACAGCCTACTCTTCAGCCATCAATGATGATGTTGAGCCTAGCTGCTTCACTATTGCCAATAAATTTCTAGTATGGCATCAAGCCTATATCAGAGGATATTAATGCTCGTGTCCATAATGGCATTTGGAGTCTTTATCAACCAACACCGGGACTAAATGTTGTGCGTTGTAAATGGGTGCTTCGCATCAAACGTCGAGCTGACGATATTGTTGAGCACTACAAAGCACGTTTGGTTGCCAAAGGTTTTCATCAAAAAGAGGGGCTTGCCTATTTTGAAAGTTTCAATCCTGTTGTAAAGCCCACTACTATACGTCTTGTTTTATCTCTTGTTGTTTCTCACAGTTGGACTGTTCGGCAACTCGACATACACAATGCCTTTCTTCATTGCAATCTTCAAGAATAAGTATTTGTACATCAACCGCTATGCTTTGTTGACAAGCATAATCCTTTATTTGTGTGTAAGCTTCACAATAAGCACCTCGTGCTTGGTTTTCGCACCTCACTGGATTCTTACTCACTCTTCAGTTTTAGGCTTCTAAGGCTGACAGCTCATTATTCATTTATCGGCACAATGGATATGTTGTCTACATTTTGATTTATGTAGATGGTATGTTTATCACCGGCAACACGTCGTCCTACATCTGTCAGCTTATCCACTCTCTTGGCTGTGAGCTTGCAATAAAAGATCTTGGCAGCCTCTATTATTTCTTGGGTATTGAGGCCCATACTCAGTCCAATAGCTTGCCGCTCTCCCTAAAGAAGTATATATTGGATTTAGTACATAAGTCTGGTATGTTACAATCCGAGCCGGTTTGCACTCCAATGTCAACAACCACCAAACTCACTCTTTCTAAAGACACTGCTATGGTTGATCCGACGTTGTATCGGGCGGTGGTTGGTTCACTTCAGTATCTTACACTCACGAGACCTGACATTCCCTTCACTGGGGGTGTTTGGTAAAACTTTTTTTCAACTTAAATCAACTTTTGGCTTAAATTAAGCTATATTGGTGTGTTTGGTACAACTTATGAGGCATAGATTATGGCTTAAATGTAAAAGTTGCTCTTAGGGTGCTTAATTTTACAGCTTAAGCGCGCAGCTGTTTTTGGAGGGGCAAAATGACTTAAATGCCCCTCCAAAACTTAAAGAATAACGAAAATGCCACTATATAACCATACTTCTTCGTCTCATACCTAACTCTTCTCTTCTCCTCTCCTCTCAAACGGCGCTACTTTTCTCCTCTCCTCTCGCTGCCGACTGCTCCACACATCGAAATCGCCGGTGATCGTCCCTATTTTCCGTTGATCTCCAACAAAAAGTAAGATTTGAAACCCTAAACCCTATGTTTTGTTATATATAGATATACATATATTAGATATACACATCGATTTAGGGTTTTTTTGGTTTTTCGTTACTTTGTGTTCAAATCCATTAAGATTTGTGTTTGTTTATGGTTTCTGGTTGCTCTACCGCGCTCTCTCTCTCTCTCTCTCTCTCTCTCTCTCTCTCTCTCTCTCTCTCTCTCTCTCATCGATTTTGGTTTCCGGTTCATGTAGGCTTAGGATTTAAGGGTTGATGAAGAGAAGTGGGTGGGGGGCCTTAACAGATTTAAAACAAAATTTTTTTTAATACTGTTTTTAGGTTCATGTTTTTAAAACTATTTTTGGTCCTTTTTTGTTGCTTCATTGGCTAGTTTTGATTGTAATATCATACATTAATCAAAGAAAAATGAAAAGAATGAAAAAAGTGATTACTGGTTAATTATAGGAAACATATTACATTAGTAGAATCTTTAACAAAACAATTACAAATCAATGATAAATGATTTGAGTTACCATTTTTTCCATTTCCATACAAAGATAAATGAATTGTACGGTCCATGTTCCTTTTTTTTTAGGTACATTGGAAAGATACAGTCCATATTCAAATGTTTCTTGATGTGGGTACACTTAAAAAAATGAACTTGAGAAGAAGAAAAAAAATTGAGTTACCATTTCATTTTTTGTTCACTTTCCCCCCCCCCCCAAAGTTTTGGGGTATTGGTGTAGAATGTCCGTTGAACGTTTGTTGGATTCTGTGACTAAATCTTCACTTTGTTGGAAGTATAATAATTGTGGGAATCCAACCAATACCCATTTGTTAAAAACTCAGTCTGTAACAAATACTCAGTTTTTAACAATGCAAATGAACACATATATATACACAAACATATATATGAAAATGAACACATATAGTGTCACTTTGGGGGGGTTCAATACTCAATGTTCTAATTGTGTTTGAAACACCGGAGGAATGCCTCAGACTGATGAGACGCCAAAGGAATTTCATACCCCACATGATGCTGAATTTCATGATGATGTTGATTTGGAGGTGGTTCATCCTTCTGAGTTAAACAAAAAACGATCATCAAACACTAACGGTTCATCAACCAAGAGCAAGACAAAGAAGAAATTTACTGGTGCAGCTCTACTGAACAAGACACTTGATCGTATAGTCAATGTGGTTGAGTCATCTTTAGCAACTTCAACACAGACCTCATCAAGATATCCTTCAATTGCAGAATGTTTGGCGAAGTTGGAAAGTATCCCTAGTGTGTCCCCGCATGATGAGCTGTATGTATAGGCTGCTAGATTGTTCTTACGAGACAAGCGTCGTGAGTGCTTTATGAGTCTTCCAACAGATGAAGTTCGGTTGAGGTTTCTAAAGTTGGAGATTGAGATGGAGAAGACCACCACAGGTTATCGCGGCTAGTTTTTTTTTAGATGGACTATTGTGTTGAACTCATTATTTTTTGTCTTTTATTAACATTTTTGTTGGACTTTGATGGATATTATTGACTATGTTGGACTTTTATTATTAATATTTGACTATGTTGAACTTTGATTAATATTGAAAAATGTTGAACTTTTATTATTAATATTTGGGTAGGTGACATTTTCATAGTTGAATGGTAGGTGAATGGTTGACTAGCTGAATGTTGGTTCAATGGTTGAAATGTTAGTTGAATAGTTGAATGGTTGGTTTTAATTTTGAATATGAATGGTAGGTGAATGGTAGAGATTTTTATATATATGTAGATGTTTTCCAAGTGGTGTTATTATGGTGTTTTCCAGCTGAACTGAATTTGGAGGTCATTCTAGTTTGAATTTCAATCTGTTGCTGCTGTATTGATGTGTTCATTGAAGGTAACATTTTACAAAGTTCAATTTGCTTGCTGTTTGTAATGATCATTTGCATAAATATGCTACTTAATCCATATAGGGTGTTTCTATTGATTCTTCAATGGAAATAGGAGATTGACTGTTAAAGTTACACAAATGTTGAATTTGTTTGGGTAATCATGATACTAATGCAAATTTAGATGACCTTGAAGTTGATGGGTCGCTCATCCGTGGTTCCTATTTTTTTGTTTGACAATTCGCAGGAAGTAGTCAGAACTCATTTTGATTTCTATGCTATTGCTTTTCCAAAATTACTTATGGGTCTATTGTTCATCAATTCAACCTGAGGGTGGTCCAAATTGAGCATTTGGTTTCATTCTTTAGTATGATTTTTGTCCTCATGATGATTTTGATGGGCATTCTTGTGCTTGTATAGCTCTGTCAATACTCACCTTCTTGTACTTCTGATAAATGATAATTCTTAAACTCATTAACCATAACATTGCAAAATAATTTTTAAAAATCAGTCCTCTTCACCAGGTTATTGAACAATAGGCATATTGTTGAGCTAATGAGGTAAAGACTCCCAATATTTAGGGAGATATGTAGAACCTTAAGCATGAATCTTTCCATCCTCAAAATTTTAGCAAGTTTTAAGGTAAATATTCAAGATCACCGTGTTTACCTTCTTTGGATTTACAATAATGTTGTCATTAGCCTAGGATCCACACTTGTATTTATCCATGCAATAATAAATGTTGCTAGAAATGGGGATTTTTTTTGTAGAAAAAACTGAGAATTTCTTGGTTTCCTGTAAAAGACAGTTCATATCTTGTAGAGGTAGGATCATGTTTATTAAATTGGCCTTTATGAAATTTCTTCTGTACTTTTTCACTTTTTCAAATTGGCCTTTATTAATAACTTTGATAGCTCTATTTTGTATTAATAGCTCTATTCTATATTAATAACTTTGAAATCTGTGAGTGAAAATGAATATAATAGTAACTGAGCCTTTTAATGGATAGGTATTTTGGAGATGAGTAACAGTGATAACGAATGGAATGATGATCACCATGATGAAGATACTGAAGATGAAGGCAGCACATTGGAAACCCAACAACATAATAACATGCTCTTAGCTACGGCGGCAATAGTTGCAATGACATCTGCGACAAATTATTTGATAAAAGAACCATGTAGGACATCTAGTTTAACAGGGGGGAAGTGGATGGTAGAATTACAAGAAGGGAATCGAACAAGAATATTTGAAAATTTTTTAATGGAAAGAGAAGTATTTTATCAATTGTCTGATTTGTTACATACAAAGTATGGCCTTGAAACTGGACGAAAAGTCTCGGTTCAGGAGCAGGTTGCAATATTTTTGTATATTGTTGGCGGTGACATTCGAAACAGAAATGCCCAAGAAAGGTATCAACATTCCGGCGAGACTATTTCAAAATACTTCAAGAATGTGTTAAAAACTATTACAATGATGTCTATTGATTGGGTAAGACCTCAACTGAGAAATGGTGTGCATCCATATATTCGAAGGAAGCGCAAATATTATCCTCATTTCAAGGTAAAAAAATAAATTACAAGTGGAACTTCGGTATTACATATAATAATGCTGGTCGAATATTTCTAATAATCTGTGACTAAAAATAATTTTATGAACTATTTTGTAATAGGATTGTATTGGAGCAATTGACGAACACACATCAAAGCATATATATCTCCAGATAAGCAACCTCGTTTAATAGGTAGAAAGGGGTATGCAACTCAAAACATAATGGCCGCATGTGACTTTGATATGTGTTTCACCTTTTGCTTATCAGGATGGGAAGGAAGTGCACACAATACTCGGATCTTCTTGGATACAATTAGGAATCCTAGTTATAATTTTCCAAAACCACAAGGAGGTAACTATTTTATATTTCATTGGTACAGTAGATGCACCACACTCACATCTTCATATTTATTTTTACATTTATAATTGCTTACTTTAATTTCATTTTGCAATTTTAAAATAGATGAGTTTTACTTGGTGGATACTGGGTATCCAAACATGAAAGGATATCTTGCACCTTACAAAGGAGAGAGATATCATCTAGCTCAATTTGAACATGATCAACCCCCTCAAAATGCACAAGAAAAATTCGACCAAGCACATTCATCACTTAGAAGTGTAATAGAAAGAACGTTTGGGGTTTGGAAAGCAAGATGGCCGATGATAAAGGATATCCCACCAAACTACAGCTGGACGACCCAAGTCAAACTTGTTTGTGCAACAATGGCAATTCATAATTTCATCCGACGAAGTGAGTTCCGCGATATTGCATTTGACTCTTATGATAGATTCGCGGATTATGTGCCTAATGAAGAGGAAGGATCTTCGTCTCAACAAGCGTGACAACCCTCACCTCTGATTAGTGCTAAACTGTGATTAAGCATGATAAGTAACTGATTAGAATGAAATCCTGATCTGTTTGTATGAGTGTGTTGCCTTAGTTTCATTTCTATCTGTTTGTCATTAAATGATCTACTCATGTTTTTTATTCCGAATTGCAAATTGAAGGCCTTATCGGCCACCGAATCAGAAATTGATTAGTATTTTATGTGTAACGTCCTCAAAATAATAACATCAAACCCATCAATATAGACATGCATTGATATATATAAGTTCCACATTCTTTTATTCATCATAGTTCCATAACCAAAAGTATTACATGTTAACAATAAAAGCAAATGCCCTAGAGGCTTACAGCTTTCCAAGTTAACACTTGGTTACAACAAAAGAGTACTAACTCATTTACACATTAAGCCCTTGGCTTGAATATACATGTAATACATCAAGAAATAAAACAACAAAAATGTGTCCGCCTCTAGCCTCCCAAGCTATGTCCTTGGAGGTGGCATGCTACCTGTACCTGAAAATGATGTTCCCATATAGGGTGAGCCACAGCCCATGCCAAATCACATGAACCAAATATGAACAATGACATAAAAGGTTAGCAGTTGATAGATGGTCAACACTGATACTTTCCCTTATCACACTTTACGGTTTCATGACATACAAGTCCATATTACAGTTCATTTTCCAATTCTTTTCAATTTTCCATTCATAACCATGGCTCAGAACCTGGCCAAACAACTCATATGAGACATCATATCAAGCATTTCCCCATTTCATAATAGATAAGCATACTAGCTATATCACATACCAACAGATAAGCAATACAAGCTATATCATCACTTCCACAGATATGCATAAGAGCACTATCACACTTCCAATGACAAGCATATGAGCTCTGTCAACACATTACTAGATAAGCATATGAGTTCTATCTATGGAGTCCATCCCCAATCTTCTCCCAACAACATCCGGTTTAGAGGTCCATCCCCTATCTTCCCCTAAACCGTGGAGTACACCCTATCTCCTCCAACACAACACAATGCATATAAACAACAATTATACACATCATCACACAATACATAAATTTAATGTATTCTTTCAATCGTCAATCTCAATGACACATTCCAGTGATTAGTTTCAGTTTGCCTAATCATCATGCATTGTCTACAACAATCAAGACTATCCTCCACCGATAGCCCAAAGCAGTTATTTCTATACTGAAAATAAATGCAACAATGGATATATAATCAACATTCCAACTAGGTGAGTGATAAGTAATCCAACTACACCCTTTAATCCCATATCTTTTCCAAATCAATTCCTCATTCCTCATAATTAATTATGCGAATTAATTAACCAATGTAATTAGGGCATTTTCTATAATTAACATTACAACCCTTAGGTTCCATTCTCATTAGTGTTTCAACATTAATTTCACATTTTCCATGCCAAACATGCATCTAGGTTTTATATAGCTAAAACCTCAACTTTTATAAATTTACACAAAAGCCCCAAACTTTCACAAAATTACCAAACCAGCCCCAACATCTCAAAATATTAAAATTTACAGACAAAGCTCATAAAGAGGAGTAGGATATCCCTACCTCGAAGTTAGAGCTCGGATGGAGAAGAGACCAAAACCAAAGTCCTTCAAAGACCAAGATTTTCGGATCAAAAAGACGTCCTCGACGATCAATACAACTTTTACAAAGGCTGAAGAGAAGGAGGACACTCTAACTAGATCAAACCCTAGAGAGAAGGGAGTTTCTAGAGAGAGAGGCTCTCAAAAAGGGTTTTTAGAAAAAGTAGGAGAGAGAAAGAAAAGCAAAAAGTGATTTAAAATCACCTAGCGGATAACTCATATACGTATGACCCGCTCGAGTGGAGAACACGATGCTCGAGCGCCAAGAACAAAATCTGGACACGCTCGAGCGCAATAATGCCCGCTCGAGCGCCAAGACACAAGAATAAAGCACTTCCGCTCGAGCGCGAAAACCAGTCTGCTCGAGCGTAGATTTCCACCTCCCAGAACTTACACCCAGAAAGCACTACCCGCTCGAGCGCCAACAAACCCGCTCGAGCGCTACCGCTCGAGCGTAAACAAACCCGCTCGAGCGCAAAAATCACATCTGCAGAAGTTTTGCAGAAACCCGAAATACTGGAGGTGTGCAATACCCGCTCGAGCGGATCGCCTAAAAACTGGGCAACAAGGAATTGAAACCAAGGCCTATCCAACCTGTAACAACCCTGCCCAAAACATCCTAAAACTCAATCAAGTGGAATTAAAGGACGACAACAAGATGGATACCACTACCAACTTCACGGAACCGAGTCCGGAATACAACAGAACAGTAGAGGGACAACCGGGATCGCTATATTATGCTAATTAGGATTTATGTGATTTTATGGTAGATTTAATTAAAATTTGATTTGGAATGATTAATTAGATTAAATAATGCTAGATTAATTGAACCTTGGTAATTACCATTTTGCCATTGAGTGGCTTGGCTCTTTGACCAACCCTTATTATACCTCATACATATCATTTTGTTGTATCATTTTGATCAACTTCTAGACCCAAACCGTATGAGAGAGAGGGAGATAGGAGAAACTTGATTCAACAAGAAATTGACTTGAATTTAGAAGAAATTGGAGGGAATTTGCAAAATTGAGCTAGCACACTTGAGATTCAAGACTTAAGGTAGGAAATTTACCCTCTTAATTATGAGTTTAAGTTGTTTCTTGCATGGTTCATGGAAAGATTAGTGATTTGAGTCAAGGATTAGCTTAATGTGTTAAATTAAGAGTGATTTTCATGCATGCATGTTCATATCCTAGCATTTTGAAGTTGTTTTTCATGAAATCCTTACATGCAAGTTCATATTTTAGTTGTAGCCCATGAATTCACCATGTCTCTCTATCAAATTGCCAATTTAATCTTGGTTTGAAGTGTTGGAATTCAAGGGAGATCATGCATGTTGCATTTAAGTTTTATTCTTGGAGTTTCTTTGAAATTGGTGTTCAATTGGCTTACCTTTGGGCTTGATTTACAAATTGATCTTCAAAAACATGTTGTAGTATGAGTTTCCAAGTGTTTTCCAAAAAATTGGCCCAAAAGGTTGAGTTTTGATGTGTTGAATGCTTGGTTTGAGCTTTGGGAGCAAATCCGGAAATTCCAGATTTTGGCTTCCACGCTTGAGCGACCATCTTTTGTTCAGAGCTCCGCTGGAGCGACGGAATGCTGGCTCGAGCGTAGATTGCAAGCTCTCAGGTTTTTGTGGACACAGACGCACGCTCGAGCGACGAGACCTGCGCTCGAGCGAAGCTCTGTGTCTTACGCTTGAGCGAGCATTGAGAGGAGATTTTCAACAACCAGTACTTTTTGCATTTTTACAGACCGCTCGAGCAAGGAAGTCTACACTCAAGCGACCCCTCTGTTTTGGCAAGCTCGCTCCAGCGAAGAAAGCCACGCTCGAGCGAGACCCCTATTTTCAGCAAATTTGGAAAAGTGTTTTAAAGTGCATTTTTGCATCCTCATTCCTTCCTAGGCATTCCTAGGCCAAGTTTAAGGCATCTTAATGAGGATAATGTTATAGAACCACACCAAGTCAAGTTAAAGGGCTAAGTCATTAATCCCAAGAGTGTAATTTAGTGTGTGTTCATTCTGTTACTGTGTACAGTTGGCATCCGAGGACGCTCATTAGCTTGCCTATAGCCCAGTACTCTGTGAGTAACAATGTTATAAAGATATGTTCAATTACAACTATTTCTGAACGACTGATTATACTACTTTCTGAAATGGCATTACTTACTGAATGAATGTCTGTCCTATTTGTAAACTGTATGCGTGACATCCATAGCAATTTACTGTTGCTGTTACTGCTACTGTCATAGAGATCCCTGTTAGTTCCCAGGTTTGGAACTACTACTGTTTACTGTTATGATGACCATCAACTAACTGTTCGGTCTATTAAGACCTACTATACTGTTTTGCTATTGGATGTACCACGTATGATTGTTATGAATTCTAAATGACTGATATGGCATGAAATATGAGCCACTGATTGAATACCTGATTCACTGATGCAAATAACTGTTTTAATTGATGAAAGGACATTCATTCTTAACCCCTTTACGCATATGTTATACACTAGGCTTTAACTCACTATTTATATTTATATGTACGTGTCCAGGCACCGGACCGATGCTAGGAACGTCAAGTTAAGCTCTCGTTTTGTCGAGCTAACCATTGTGCCTCACTTCGAGGTTCCGAGTGCGTTCAAGCCAAGACTGTTTTGGGGTGTTCGAGATCACCCTTTTGTCTCTGTTTTGTAATAGCTGAATAAGACTTGACTGTACAGTTATAGTTAGGGATTTGGCCCCTAACCTGCATGTTTGTATATATGTTTTGTTTATCAATATGGCTTGTTTACAAAAGACATTGCATTCATGTTTTCACAGCTCATTGGACATCTTTTAATTACTGTTTGGCTTCCGCCAGCCTCTTTACTCTGTATTACTGTCTTTACTGTTAGGCAGGCCTTGGCAATCACAGATTACTGGCCGGTTGCGATGCTAAACCCATAGGGATGGGTTTGGGTCGTGACAGAGTGGTATTAGAGCGTTATCAGAGCATGAGTTATACCGCACATACATGTCCAAATGAGCTATAGGATGTCCTAGAAAAGTAATTAGGGCATTGCATGAGCATGAAAAAGTATGTGTGGCCATGATATGAATATATGTGCTAATGTGCTAATGTGCTTAAGTCAACAACTTCCTATGTTTATTATTACCATATTGCCTATAGTGAAATGGAGAATGCAAGAAATGTCGATGAATCTGAATCATCTGAGGCAAGAATGACAAGGTTGGAAAGAACAGTTGAACTGTTGACTGAGGCTTTAAGGCAACAATAAACCAACAGCCCCCACCTCCTTCAGTACAACCCGAACAGAATATTCATGATGATGTTATCTCTTTAACGCAGAAGTTCA